CACACACACACACACACACAGAAAAGATACATTTTGGCTGCAGTGGCACTTTTTGCTGATAAATGAAAACAAAGGGAGACAGACCGCCCCAAGCATGGGGACATTTATTCTTCATAAAATGTTTCTTAGGAAGATACAGACAAGCCTCTTTCCGTTAAGAGACAGACAGACAGAGCAGGTGGAGAACGCAGTGCGGGAGGCAGCTGGGAGGCAGCTCCGAATGCTCGAGGTGGTCCTTCCTTTGTCCCCTTGCTCAGGACCTCCCCAAACTCTCTCCGGAAGAACAGCCTTCAGATGAGCTTCATCTCCTTCCAGGAGTCTAAATTCAAAACAGCGGAAACCCCCCACTATACGCTCAAGTGGCATGAGCTAAGCGTGGTCCTTCTCGTCATCTCTCTCTGAAAAACCTTCCATCCGTCAACCACAGACTTCCTCATTCCAGCTGTCTCAATTTAGCCAGGCTGCAATGACTCAGAAGGAATTGAGACTGGCCCGTGGGATGCCTACGGCCACTTCCTCTTTGTCTTCAGGGCAAAGCGTGCAGGGTGCATGATGGGAAGCAGCAGTGGCTCTGTGGCGACCGGTTCTGGAGCCCCCCAACAGCTGGAGAGCACAGGGACCAGGCCTGGCTTCTTCCTAGGGCAACCTAGAACAGAAGAGCCGAGAGCTTCAAGACCAGACGCTTTAAAGTTCACCCCCTATGAGCGTAAAGGGGATCTCTTCCAAGCAAAGTTTTGCCACTTCCCACAAGCCTACTTATCCCAGCATAATTTAATATGCATATTGTTTCAAAAATGAATCCCACTCCATTTTTAAAAATGTGTGGACGCTACTGTCTCTTTTTTCAGAGGTCAAACACTGCTTTTAGCTCTATGAGGCATCACTTCCCTCACCCCCTCGTTATTATTTTGGCTCTGGGAAAAGTTTCACTTCTATCATGAAACATGTTCAAACATCTGCGCAACCAGGAGGGCCCAGGAGCAGCTGCTGTTCATTAAATTTGTACGAAGTGGACGATATTAGCCCACAAAAGCTTGTACATCATTTGCTAGTTTTTAGAGGTACTACAAGGCTGTTTCACCTCATGGCGCTAGCCTCATCAACTTCCTTTTACAAGCAGGTAAAGAAATCACAGGCAGCTCCTGGCTTGCCTTCTGAGCTCGGAAGCCGAGCGGAGTCAGAGGAACCGCATCAATCCTTGTTTCCAGATATCACCAGGATCCCAAATGTAACCTAGCTGAATTATTGTGGCAGGAATAATAATTGCTTCAGTTTCTGAGGATCACAATCAAAAGCTTTATTTTAATCTACTGTTTGTTCTTCCGTAGGTTGAGATGACTTTCAGCTCAGACAACTTTTGCTGCACAACCCAGCCACGCTGGAAGGCCTGCAAAAAAGCCCCCCACCAATAACTGGGTTCTTGCAACACGCTAAGTAATACTTCCGTCTCCTAGAGACTGGGAATCAAGACCAAAATGTCTACCTTTGACCATGCCAAAATGCAGAATCAAAGCTTCAGAGCTGGATTGTCCAACGAATCATCTCCGAAACAGGTGAAAAATGGCTCTCCAGAGAAGGCCCCTCCGTTCTCATCCGGGACTGCTACATACAACCCGAACTAACTCATGCTGCCTTCCAGGGCTGTAAGGAGGAGGCAATTGTGAGGGCCCAGGAGAAGAATACACAGCAGATTGAGATCCAGAGAAGCGTGCAACTCCTTTCTGTTCACCCCGATCCCTTCCACCCCCTTCTGTCCTCCCAGAACTATTGCTATTACAGGTAGTCCTCATTCAGCGACCATTCAAAGTTACGATGGCGCTGAACAAGTGGTACTTAATGACAGGTCCTCATGGTTGCGGCCATCACAGCATCCCCGCAGTCACATAACTGTGATTCGGCTGCTTGGCAACCGGCTCGCCACTACAAAGGTGGTAGCGTCCCACAGTCGCATGGCCGCCATTTGCGACCTTCACTGCCAGCTTCTGATAAGCAAAGTCAGTGGGGAAGCTGGCAGGAGGTCACAAATGGTGATCACGTGATGTCGCACTTAACGACAGCAACTGGAACTGCTGCAACTGCCATCATAAGTTGGCACGGTCACGTGACATCGCTTAGCGACGAAGCTGCCAGTCCCAATTACTGTTGTTAAGAGAGGACTACCTGTATTTACTCAGTTTTTAAGGTTGCCCGCTTGAGTTTAAATGCACTAGCTTAAATGCTACCTTTAGCCCAACACCTAGAAGAACCTGTTTATGCTAGACTGAGATATAACTAACATTAACTAACCCATGGACCCTGGGGAAAAGAGCATGTCCGTATGTGTGAAGGGATGGAAGAGAAGCAGATTTCTTCCTTCAGGGTCCCTCAGCTTGGGAAACTGGATAACCAGGTACTAAGCACACCCACACTGATCTGAAAGCTCCTCCAAGCCAGCCTTGGCCATGTGTCTGGGGGAGATGGGAGCCTCTGCCCATCCTATTAGAGAAGAGCAGGGCGGGACAGGCTGGTTATCTGAAGAGGCCGAGGGGAAGGGGGAGGGAGGGAGATCGGCCTAACAGAACCTGTGACGCTAAACCATCTTGCAGGCAGGACTAGATTTGAGAGAAGTGTTCTCCTCTCTCCCTCTCGGAGCTACCTCTCTTTTAACGTACATGCCACATGTTGCCAGTGATTCAAATAACCTCAAGACGCTGAACAAAATTAGGGACCCTGGCACCCTTCAAATGCTTCGAACCACAACTCCCACAAGGCCTTACCTCAGAACTGGCCATAATGGCTGGAGATGATGGCAATTCGTATTCAAAGCATTCTGAGGGCACCTCTCTGGTTGTCCCTTCATGGTGAGGAGAGACTGGGGTAGCTGCTTCTTTACCGAAGAAAGGGGGGGGGGAAGAGCTCAGTTAGAGGGAAGAAATAATTCTGGGCCAGGTTCTAGCTTTTTTCTAGGAATGGCTTGTCCGAGATTTCTATAACCTCTCCCTGGAATCAGAGCAGGGTGAGGCCTCAAACCGTCCCGCGGCTGCTTTGGCAAACACAACAGGAATGATCAGGGTCACCAAGCAGACCCAGCCACGCTGGAAGGTTTGCGGGAGGGCGCCACAGCGGCTACTTCTTCCGGAGCGGAGGGTAACCCTAAACCAGGGCAGCAGCATCATGTCAGAGACAAACTTTGAGGAAAGGTCCCAGTTAATACCCAGAGAGGACCCCGCAGTCCACTCACACTGTCTAAGTGACCTTCTCCAAATAGACACGGACTCCTTGGTCAGGTCATCTTCAGCATCCTGACGCAGCTTAATTAATTAAAGGGATCCCGACTTTTGGGAACAGAAGGGAAGGTTGCCCCAGAAGTGAGATATCCTGCTCTGAGCACACAAAACAGCCCCTCAGCATGCAGGGCATTTCCACCCCTGCTAGATTTCCCTGCAAATGCTTCCCAGACTTACCGGCTCAGCTTCTGAAACAGCTCTTAATATCACCATCAACCTGAAAGGGGAAGAAGGAACACTGTTGAGAGGAAATGGGGAGACTGCGCCTGTCCCCCCCCCAGAGGCACAGCGGAAATTCTGTCCTCCAAAAGCCAAGAGAAGTTAAATTGGTCGCTCGGAAATGCAATTTGTGGGCCTGGTTCTTGCTACTGCCTCACCTAAAATGTTAATAAAGTAAGTTAATATCTTTTCGATCACCAGCAGCTTAGAAGATATTATGTATGTATGTATTTGGTTTGATTGCATTGTTATGCTATTTTTATTGTATTTTAACTAATATTTATTTGTTTTTATTGTAAACCGCCCAGAGTCACTTCCTCGTGAGATGGACAGTGCCCAAATTTGAAACATAAATAAATAATAAAGACAGCCGTAACCAGCCCCAGGAATTGCATTTCCCAACGCGGCAAAATAAAAACAACATTCAATTCCTTAGAAGTCCACAAACGCTCGGACAGCAAATACTAGGACGTCTAATTCTCCCAAACGTAAGTTAGAAAACCGACAGAAAGACAAGAAAGTTCGTTAAAAGCAGAAACGAATGCAAGACTTTTTCACCAACTGTTGTGGCTTGGAATACACACCCACTGCAATTCATTACTGTGCGCACATTTTGTGGAATTATTGTGAGGAAGGTCCTTCTACTGTCCCCCCCCCGAAATGATTGATCCCGACACATTACAGTTAAAAGCAGAAACGAATGCAAGACTTTTTCACCAACTGTTGTGGCTTGGAATACACACCCACTGCAATTCATTACTGTGCGCACATTTTGTGGAATTATTGTGAGGAAGGTCCTTCTAAAAGCCCCCCCCCCGAAATGATTGATCCCGACACATTACACAACAGAACAGAAACAGAACAGTACTACACACACGTGTGTGCATACACACACACACATCAACACATGCTATCTACATACATACCTGTCCACA